TGAAAGGAAAAGACTGGCCCAAGAATGAGGCCAAAGCACCAGAGGGGTTTTGTCCGTTTCGGATTGTAGCTACCGGGCCTCGAAATTGCAGCTTTAGTGTGAGATCTGTGACGCTGCAGCATGCACACACGTGTGTGCCACACCCTGGTCGTATTAGGAGGGAACAGGTTAATCAAGTGGTGCGTGAAGTACATCCTCATACAGTCATTACTCCTAGTGGACTACGACATATGGTGCGGGAAAAGTTAGGCGTCGACTGCTGCAATGCTACGTGTGGCCGGTCAATAGATGATGTCACTCGAGAGGATCCTCCAGGTGGAGAGTCAGGTTTCCAGTACATTGGTAGCATCCTAGATGTTTTCAAGCGACATAACCCATCAAGCGTTGTGTCACTGATGCTGAATGAGAATAGGTTCCATCGTGCTGCAGTGATTTACCCTGGAGTCCGTGAGATAGTTAAAAATTGCTTTCCGATCGTATTTGTAGATGGATGTCACAACAAAGGTAAATGGCGAGGCCATACTTTGAATGCATGCATGATTGACTGCGAACATAAGTTGGTGAGGTTAGGGAGTGCGTGGGTAGAAGGCGAGAGTGCGGATTCGTGTGAGTATTTTCTGAGCCAGCTGAAGGTAGCTGCCCCTGAGATCAACACTCCGAGGTTTACATTGATGCATGATCGTGGGAAAGCATGGAAAGCGGCCGCTGCCAGAGTGCTGCCAGGGGCGCGTGAGGCATTTTGTATCACACACTTGGTGAGGAATTTTAATTCAAAGTTTGGTTCTGACTGTGATGGCAAGATCGAGCTCGCGGCTGCAGCATAGACCAGAGATGTGCTGCGGGGCTACATGGACAAAATCGAGGAAGAGTGCCCAGGGGGGAAGCAATACTTGGAGAGGGATGGATTAGCCGCACATTGGGCTACCTTTCTGTTTAATGCGTCACGTTATGGGTGCTACACTTCAAACCCGGTGGAGTCGCATCATGCATCTATGCACAAGTGGAGGAGGGACAATCCAGCACAAGTTTTGCTTGCATTCATCACACAGCAAGCGAATGCAATGCAAGAGGGTCGTGAGCTGTATGGGAATCTCGGGGTAGCTGATCTCCCCCCCAAAACAGCAGGTATCATTTGTGCTAATTGTCAAATGGGAACTCAGTACAAAGTGGAGAAGACTGGCAGAAGTTCATACCATGTGAGCCGTGACATTGGAGCCAAGGAGGAGCGTGTGGTGGTGTTGGAGGCTGCGAAGCCAGAGATGGCGCAGTGCACGTGTAATTATTCAAGGTGAGTTTTGTGTTTAGGCTAATCCTTGAAATACCTGTGGGAAACATTCTGCACCTGGTGTTAGGATTGTCGGTACATGCATAACCTTTATCTTCCTTCGGGCTTTCTCCTGATGTTTGTCCTTTGATGGAACTTGACATCCGTTTGACACCCATTTGATTTCCCCGTACAATTGCAGAGAGTATGGGCTGCCATGTATGCACATGTTTGCGGTACTGGTCCACAACATCAGGCCGGCACGTGGCAACGAGTTTGCGGACGTCCAACATGTGGTTCAAGCCATGATCCACAGGTGTTACACTTCGGACGCATTGAAGGAGCTCTACAGCACGCAGATTCGCACTCTTGACCGCACTGAGGTCGTTCCAGATACGACAATAGAGGCACCAATATACCCAAAGAAGTCGGGGAGGCCACGCAACACTCGGTTGAGGTCCCATGGTGAGATTGATGGGAGGAAGTTGCGTAGATGTGGGAAGTGTGGGGAGAAATGGCACAATAGAAAGACTTGTGATTTGCGCAAACAATTGAGAGACACGTGGGAGGCACTTCACACTCCGAAAGGGCACATGAGTGTGCAAACAGCTACGCAAGCAGAGGCTCGAGTGAATGTGGCGATGTGTAGTGCATGCAATATAAGGCACCACAGGGATGTACTCTGCGAGCCTAGGAGGCAACCTCGTGAACATGAACAACCACAGAATGGGGTGGGGGTGGCGGACGGTAGCGCGACTCACGCAGCAGGTGGTGAGAATGAAGGTGTTGAGGTATCAGACGAGGAGGAGGACGTCAGTTCAGATTCGGAGGGGGAGAGAGAAGAGCAGCCGATGGATGCAGGTGCTGGTGTCCAACAGGCAGTCCCAACAGTACTCCGTGAAGTATTTGGCGAGGCATTTAACGGACTCAGCACCTCAGGAACCAACGGAAACATGCGCTCGGGGGGTGTGGGGTTATCAAATCCAACAGCAGCTGAGAGTGGGGGATTGGGGGAGAGGGGAGGTGTATCCGAGAGTGGTGGATTGGGGGAGCGGGGAGGAGCGTCCGAGAGCGAAGCAGGGAGGGGAGGAGCAGGAGGGGGTGGGGCATGGAGGAGAGGAGCAGCAGAGAGTGGGGCGGGGACGGCAGGAGCAGAGACCGGGGCGGGAAGGGCAGGAGCAGCTGGGATCGTGACAGGGAGGGGAGGAGCAGGGAGTGGGACGTGGAGGGGAGGAGCAGCAGGGAGCGGGGCAGGGAGGCCAGGAGCAGAGAGCGGGGCGGGAAGGGCAGGAGCAGCCGAGATCGTGACAGGGAGGGGAGGAGCAGGGACTGGGGCGGGGAGGGGAGGAGCAGGAAGTGGGGCGGGGAGGGGAGGAGCAGGGAGTGGGGCGGGGAGGGGAGGAGCAGGGAGTGGGGCGGGGAGGGGAGGAGCAGGGAGTGGGGCGGGGAGGGGAGGAGCAGGGAGTGGGGCGGGGAGAGGAGGAGCAGGGAGTGGGGCGGGGAGGGGAGGAGCAGGGAGTGGGGCGGGGAGGGGAGGAGCAGGGAGTGGGGCGGGGAGGGGAGGAGCAGGGAGTGGGGCGGGGAGGGGAGGAGCAGGGAGTGGGGCGGGGAGGGGAGGAGCAGGGAGTGGGGCGGGGAGGGGAGGAGCAGGGAGTGGGGCGGGGAGGGGAGGAGCAGGGAGCGGGGCGGGGAGGGGAGGAGCAGGGAGCGGGGCCGGGAGGGGAGGAGCAGGGAGCGGGGCCGGGAGGGGAGGAGCAGGGAGCAGTGGGGCGGTGAGGGGGGGAGCAGCAGGGAGCGGGGCAGGGAGGGGAGGAGCATCCGAGAGCGGGGCAGGGAGGGGAGGAGCATTCGAGAGCGGGGCAGGGAGGGGAGGAGCATCCGAGAGCGGGGCAGGGAGGGGAGGAGCATCCAAGAGCGGGACAAGGAGGGGAGGAGCAGCAGGGAGCGGGGCAGGGAGGGGAGGAGCAGCAGGGAGCGGGGCAGGGAGGGGAGGTGCAGCAGGGAGCGGGGCAGGGAGGGGAGGTGCAGCAGCGAGCGGGGGGGGAAGGGGAGGAGTAGCAGGGAGTGGGGGGGAGAGGGGAGGAGCAGTGAGCGGGGCCGGGATGGGAGGAGCAGCAGGGAGTGGGGCGGTGAGGGGAGGAGCAGCCGAGAGCGGGGTAGGGAGGGGAGGAGCAGGGAGCGGGGCGGGAAGGGGAGGAGCAGCAGGGAGCGGTGGAGTGGCGGGTGAGATGGGATTTGACCACAACAATCCCACACCTGGTGATGCCTCGCAAAACAATGGTGACAATGTGGTTCGTTTTAGACTGAGGCGGATGCAACACGTTCGTCAGCAAAGACAAGTGGCTCCCGAACCAAGAAATAGGGATCAGAGGCCAGCGGCTGTGGTGGAGGAAGGAACAGGGGCGGACTCAGAGGCAACGGGCCATACAAACCATACCCCAGTACCTGATACACAAGAATCAACCGTTGTGGATAACCCAGCGGACCACAGCGGGGAAATGCGGGATGAACAACCGCGTGTGAAGTTGGGGCAGAAGCGACGCCGCCAGTTGAGAAGGTTGCAGGTGCAGCAACAACATCAGAGACGGAAACAGCTGCAGGGTGTGACTCAGCAGGGACAGTAGCAGCAGCAGCAGCAGCAGCAGCAGCAGCAGCAGCAGCAGCAGCAGCAGCAGCAGCAGCAGCAGCAGCCGGGACAGCAGCAGCAGCAGCCGGGACAGCAGGAGCGGCAGGGACAGCAGCAGCAGCAGGGACAGCAGGAGCGGCAGGGACAGCAGGAGTGGCAGGGACAGCAGGAGCGGCAGGGACAGCAGCATAGGCATCAGCAGCAGGGACAGCAGGAGCGGCAGGGACAGCAGGAGCAGCATCAGCAGCAGGGACAGCAGGAGCGGCAGGGACAGCAGCAGCGGCAGGGACAGCAGCAGCAGCAGGGACAGCAGCAGCAGCAGGGACACCAGCAGCAGCAGGGACAGCAGGAATGCCAGGGACAGCAGCAGCAGCAGCAGCAGCAGCACCAGCACCAGCAGCAGCAGCAGGGGCAGCAAATGATGGTGCTCCTGCAGCAATTGCTGCAGAATGCGCAGCAGGGAGGGCAGCAGCAGCAGGGAGAGCTACATGAGATTGGCTAGCCACAACAGCAGCATGGTGTTGGGCTACTTCTGGAGCAACTGCTGCAGGTATTGCGACAACAAACCCAAGACCAAAACCACCATCAGTGGCCTTAATCTCAGCAGCAGCAATGACAGGAGCATCTGTAACAAAGTAAAAACAACAGAACGATTGCAGCAGCAATGACAGGAGCAGCAGAAGACAGTGCAACGAATGCATCAGCAATAGCAGCAGCAACATGCAGGGTTGTGGCTGCATTCCTCTTCGCTGCAGCAACAATGGTGAACCTTGTGAAACTAGAATATGGTCTTGATTCATTGTTGACACATCACAACGTACGAAACAAAGCCTTGCCGACCACCTCCCACTCCCTGCAACCACTCCCTGCTCTCGCTCCATGCTTTCGGTTCCTGCTACAACTCCCTGCTCCCACTCCCTGCTGTGATCCTGTACTGAAGGAGTGTCATGATTTTTTAGAAATTAGGGTGCAATGGAAACTTTGTGGTCTTTTTCTCCAGAATATATGTTGTGGTATTTGTTCATGGATGCATGTCATCACTCTAATGTGCAACTCTGAAAAGAACTATGTTATGAAAATGAGCCATTGTTGTTTCACATCAGAAATATATCACACACCACCACCTTGTAGCAAGCACACCACCCTATCCTTACCCACAACTACGCATTCTTTATTCAGCAGGGGGATCACACCTTTGCATTTTGGTTGCTAAGTTGTTTGTATTCTCTAAAGGTGCTAATTTCCTCTATTTCTTGCATGTTTGTACTTACCCGTATATCACGTATCTCAATACAAGGACCGCTAGAGAGAGAGAGAGAGAGAGAGAGAGAGAGAGAGAGAGAGAGAGAGAGAGAGAGAGAGAGAGAGAGAGAGAGACAGAGAGAGAGAGAGAGAGAGAGAGAGAGAGAAAGAGCGAGAGCGAGAGAGAAAGAGAGAAAGAGGGAGGGAGAGAGAGAAAGAGAGAGAAGGAGGGAGGGAAGGAGAGATGGACGGCAAGATGAGAAGGATGAAGAGGAGGAGCAAGAGGAGGAGGGGAAGGAGAAGGGGAAGGAGAAGGGGAAGGAGAAGGGGAAGGAGAAGGGGTAAGAGAAGGGGGAGGAGAAAGGGAAGGGGAAGGAGAAGGGGAAGGAGAAGGGGAAGGAGAAGAGGAAGGAGAAGGCATGGAATTTGAATACCAAACGGTCAATAAACTACAAAAGGAAGGAGAAGGGGAAGGAGAAGGGGAAGGAGAATGCATGGAATCTGAATAACAAACGGTCACTAAACTACAAAGGGAAGGAGAAGGGGAAGGAGAAGGGGAAGGAGAAGGGGAAGGAGAAGGTGTAAGAGAAGGGGAAGGAGAAAGGGAAGGAGAAGAAAAAGGGGAAGGAGAAGAGGAAGGAGAAGACATGGAATTTGAATAACCAACGTTCTCTAAAGTACAAAGGGAAGGAGAAGGGGAAGGAGAAGGGGAAGGAGAAGGGGAAGGAGAAGGGGAAGGAGAAGGGGAAAGAGAAGGGGAAGGAGAAAGGGAAGGGGAAGGAGAAGGGGAAGGAGAAGGGGAAGGAGAAGAGGAAGGAGAATGCATGGAATCTGAATAACAAACGGTCACTGAACTACGAAGGGAAGGAGAAGGGGAAGGAGAAGGGGAAGGAGAAGGGGAAGGAGAAGGGGAAGGAGAAGGTGTAAGAGAAGGGGAAGGAGAAAGGGAAGGAGAAGAAAAGGGGAAGGAGAAGAGGAAGGAGAAGACATGGAATTTGAATAACCAACGTTCACTAAACTACAAAGGGAAGGAGAAGGGGAAGGAGAAGGGGAAGGAGAAGGGGAAGGAAAAGGGGAAGGAGAAGGGGAAGGAGAAGGGGTAAGAGAAGGGGAAGGAGAAAGGGAAGGGGAAGGAGAAGGGGAAGGAGAAGGGGAAGGAGAAGAGGAAGGAGAAGAGGAAGGGGAAGGAGAGAGAGAGAGGGAGAGAGGGAGAGAGAGAGAGAGAGAGAGAGAGAGAGAGAGAGAGAGAGAGAGAGGGAGAGAGAGAGGGAAGGAGGGACAGGGAGAGAGAGAGAGAGAGAGAGAGAGAGAGAGAGAGAGAGAGAGAGACAGGGAGAGGTGAGAGAGAGAAAGAGAGTTATAGAGAGAGAGAGAGAGAGAGAGAGAGAGAGAGAGAGAGAGAGAGAGAGAGAGAGAGAGAGAGAGAGAGAGAGAGAGGGGAGGGGAAAGAGAGAGAGTGAGAGAATTGTTCAATGGAAGCCATTTATATCGCTCTCAGTACTTGTGCCCTTTTTCTTGATACCTGTAGCCCCATCTATGCGTTTATGTGGCGTTGTCTAGTTTTGAGATGAATCGCAATTGATTTGCATAGGTAATCAGTCGTCTGTGCGCAGAACGTGTCAAATATGTTCATGGTTAGCCACTCATACCACTCTCAGCTGTATGAAGCCCTTTTTGATTTATTTACAACCGTTTCTTAATACCAATCGATCCAACGATGTGTCTAGGTGAGGCTGTCCGGTTTTGAGATGAATCGCAAATGATTTGCATAGGAAATCATGCGTTTGTGCGTGGAAGGGGTCAAAATTGCTTGCGGATAGCCCTTCCTATCACCTCTGCAATTTTGGGCCCTATATTCTTTATACCTCCTGCTTATTAATACTAATAGCCCCGACTATGTGTCTAGGTGAGGCTGTCCGGCTTGGACATGAATCGCAATTGATTTGGATAGGTAGTCAAGCGTTAGTGCGCATAAGGGGTCAAATGTGTTACAGGAAAGCTAATTTTATCACTCTCAGCTGACTAGGGCCTTTTTTTATACCAATCGATCCTACTATGTGTCTAGGTGAGGTTGTCCGGTTTTGAGATGAATCGCAATTGATTTGCATAGGTAATCAAGCCTTAGTGTGCATAACGGGCCAAAGCTGTTCAAGTATAGCCATTCATATAACCTCTGAAGTTTATAGCTCCCGTTTATTAATACCAATAGCTCCGACTATGTGTCTTGGTGAGGCTGTCCGGTTTGGACATGATACGCAATTGATTTGGATAGGTAATCAAGTGTCAGTGCGCATTTGGGGTCAAATGTGTTACAGGAAAGCTAATTTTATCACTCTCAGCTGACTAGGGCCCTTTTTTTTTTTAGCCCGGTTTCTTGATACCTGTAGGCCCAACTATGTGTCCATCTATACCCGTTTCTTAATACCACAAGCCAATAATGTGAATCTAGGAGTTGCTGCCCAGTTTTGAAATCAATCGCATATGACTTGCGTTTGTTGAAGGAATTTGGCCCCGCCCTCGCATGGGCAAAACTGACTTCGTGGTCGGGTGTGCGGGAGGTGCAGCCGACCTTTTGCAGGTGTACGAGGGTTGCTTATACACGAGGTGTACTAGGGAATCCATGCAAGAGTAACTTAAGCATCCGCGAGTGCAACACAGAAGTCTCGTGCACATGTACAAGTGGCGCAACTCGTACAGTGGTTCGCGGGTGTTCGTCTGCGCAGGGTCGCGTCTGACCCTCCGCACCCTTGAGACTGCACAGGCGATTGTCAGAACATTGTAGCTTATGCTGTTGTGTAGGCTATAGTGGGGTATCCCATAGGGGGTACAACCAATTAGGGTTTCATATTTGTACCCACTTCATTTCATAGTTCATCCATCCTCGTTCTCATTTTCACATGGAATCAGAGCAGGTCCCCTCCTAGGGACTGTTCCTTGGGCCCACCGAAGCGCGCCTCGAGTCGCGCCTGCCTTTTTTTTTTTTAGCGGCCCGTCGAGTCGCACCTAGCAGCCCGTCGCGCCGCCCTTACGGTCGCGTCGAGCCACCCTAGCGGCTGCGGCGCGCCGCCCTTTTCCCGGCCCGTCGCCGCCCTTACCCGCGGCTTTGCGCCGCCCTCACCGGCGGCTTCGCGCCGCCCCTACCTGCGGCTTCGCGCCGCCCAGGCCCGTCGCCGCCCTTCCCGCGGCTTCGCGCCGCCTCTACCTGCGGCTTCGAGCCGCCCCGGCCCGTCGCCGCCCTTACCTGCGGCTTCGCGCCGCCTGCGGCCCCGCCGCCTCTCTCGTTGCGGCCCCGCCGCCCGTCTTCGCGGCCCCGCCGCCATCTCTCGCTGCGGCCCCGCCGCCACTCACTGCGGCCCCGCCACCCGTCTCAGCGGCCCCGCCGCCCGTCTTCACGGCCCCGCCGCCTCTCTCGCTGCGGCCCCGCCGCCTCTCACTGCGGCCCCGCCGCCCTACTCAGCGGCCCCGCCGCCCGACTTCGCGGCCCCCGCCGCTTCTCTCGCTGCGGCCCCGCCGCCTCTCTCGTTGCGGCCCCGCCGCCCTTCACTGCGGCCCCGCCGCTTCTCTGCAGCGGCCCCGCCGCCCGTCTTCGCGGCCCCGCCGCCTCACTACCCAACGGCCCCGCCGTCCTTCTGCAGCGGCCCCGCCACTCCTCTACAGCGGCCCCGCCGCCCTGCGTCAGCGGCCCAGCCGAGCCGCCCAACAGCAGCGCAGCCGAGCCGCCCAGCAGCAGAGCAGCCGAGCCGCCCCGCCGCCGAGCCGCGCTGCAGCCGAGCCGCCCGGCCGCCCACCAGTCGAGCCGCCGTGCAGCCGACCGCCCAGCCGCCGAGCCGCCCAGCTGCCAAACCGCCCAGCCGCCGAGCCGCCCAGCCGCCGAGCCGCCCAGCGGCCGAGCCGCCCTGCAGCCGAGCCGCCCGAGCAGCCCTGTCCGGTGAGCACAGACCCTCTGTCACTGCGTGCTCTTCCCCTACTCCTTGCACTGCTGGTCTACTGCTGTCATGGCTACCCCTAGTGTCCTCACTTTTGACACTGAGGGTCGGGCCATTGACTTTGAGGTCTGGGTAGATGACCTACAGCTGTTCTTACAGTGCGATAGGGCGGACGACCTCTCTCTCTTTGACCTCACCTCTGGCGCTTCCCCTGCCCCTGCTGCTGATGCTGACGCCACTGTTCGCTCCCAGTGGGCCACGCGCGATGCTGCTGCACGTCTTGCTGTGCGTCGCCACCTCCCTACCTCCGAGCGTGCGCACTTTAGTCAGTACAAGAGTGCTCAGACCTTGTACGCCGCTGTAGTCGCGCGCTACTCCTCCCCTTCCACTGCTGCACTGAGCCGTCTCATGCTGCCGTACCTCTTCCCTGACCTTGCTTCTTTTCCCACCGTTGCTGACCTCATTACGCACCTCCGCACTAGTGACACTCGCTACCGCGCTGCACTTCCTGCTGACTTCTGCACCGCGAACCCCCCCCCCATGTACATTACTCTGTACTTCCTAGTCACTCGCCTCCCTGACTCCCTTCGAGTAGTCAGGGACCACTTTCTCTCAGTCTGTCCCACCACACTCACTGTAGACCTCCTCGAGAAGGCCCTCCTCGCGATAGAAAAGAGCATAGTCGCTGTAGGAGCCTCTCGAGGTGACCCGCGCACCCCCATCTTTGAGGGGTGTTCTCCCTCCCCCCTGCTGCCCTCTGTTGCCTCTGCTGCTTCGGCCGACCTCCTTGGTCTTGAGTCGGTCGGTGCGGCGTCTGCCCCTAGCGGGAGACGCCGCCCTGGCAAGGGCAAGGGGGGAAAGGGAGCTGGAGGAGCGGGCGGTGGAGGTGGAGGTGGAGGCAGTGGGGGGAGTGGGGGTAGCGGTGGAGGTGGAGGTGGGGGTGGGGGGTTCGGTGGCGGCAGTGGAGGCGGAGGCCGCGGCGGCGGTGGCGGTGGTAGCGGAGGTGGCGGAAGAGGCGGCGGTGGAGGAGGCGGTGGAGGCGGCGGCGGCAGTGGAGGCAGTGGAGGCAGCGGAGGCGGTGGAGGCGGTGGGGGTGGCGGTGGAGCTGGTCGCGGGTCTTTGCAGAGGAGTGGCTCCGGTGGTGGCTCGCGCCAGCAGCAGCAGCGTGGTCGTGCGACCCTGTCCCCTCAGCAGCTCCGTGAGTGGTACACTGCACGCCAGCGGGGTGGGGGTTTTGGTCCGTGTACCTACGTCCTGCGCACCGGCGACCGTGCGGGTGAGCAGTGTGGGGGTGTGCACCCCACTCCGCGCTGCTTTGGCCGCCTGACGGACGCATGGCGTCACCAGTTCCCGGAGGCCTCCGAGATCCCTCGCTGGGACGAGCTGTCTGGGGCGGGGGTTGCCATCTTTGATCTGGACTTTGATGCTATTCTCTCTGCCATGTATGCTGTGTCTATTAGTGATGAGGGTGACTGTTACCGGTGTTTCCAGCCCGATCCGGGCATTGAGACTGCTGCTCTAGGTACTGGTGAGGCTGCTGCCCTAGGTGCTTACGACGCTGCTGCTCTAGGTGCTGGTGTGTCTGCGTCCTCAGGTACTGGTGAGTCTGCTCTCTCAGGTACCGCGTCGGCTTCGGCCTCCCTCACCTTCACTCTTGACTCTGGGGCGTCTCGCTCCTTCTTTCGGGACCGCACCACACTCACGCCGCTTAGTCGGCCGGTTGCGGTGTCTCTGGCTGACCCCTCTGGGGGTCCGGTCCTGTCTCGTTTCTCCACAGTCCTCCCGTGTCCGGCGGCTCCCTCTGGCACCCTGTCTGGTCTCTACCTCCCCTCGTTCTCGACGAACCTGGTGAGTGGTGCTGACCTACAGGATGCGGGTGTCCACCAGTTCACTCCTGCACGTCAGCGAGTGACCCACTGTACAGAGGCTGGCACAGGCCGACACCTGGCTACGTTCACCCGTCAGCCGGGGTCGAGCCTGTACACTCTGACCACTGCGTCTCCTCCAGTTGCTGAGTCTGGTAGGGTAGTTACGTCGGGTCAGGTGTTTGCTGCGGCGTCCAGGTCTGGTCCTGAGTCTGCCCCCTGTTCGTGTCGTCTCCTGTCTCACGAGACTCTCCTCTGGCACCACCGCCTTGGCCACCCCTCTCTGCTTCGGCTCAGAGGTATGGCCTCCCGTCTTCTTGTGTCCGGTCTCCCCCGGTCCCTCCCTCCCCTTCCTCAGGGCCCTGGCCCTGCCTGTGTCCCCTGTGTCGAGGGGCGCCAGCGTGCTGCCCCTCACTCCTCCCAGTTTCCTTCGACAGAGGCCCCGTTGCAGACACTTCACATGGACGTGTGGGGCCCAGCCCGCGTCCGTGGACAGGGTCACGAGCGCTACTTCCTGCTCGTTGTTGACGACTACTCGCGTTACACCACAGTCTTCCCCTTGCGCAGCAAGGGTGATGTCACTGAGGTGCTGATCGACTGGATCCGCGCAGCTCGTCTCCAGCTCAGGCAGAGCTTCGGCTCGGACTTTCCTGTTCTGCGTCTGCACTCGGACAGAGGCGGAGAGTTCTCCTCTGGCCTTCTGCGTGCCTACTGTCGTGCACGGGGCATCCATCAGACCTTCA